AAGCTTGTGTTACTGGTTACCAGCCAGAATGCCACACAATGCAAAGCTCCTGTGACTGGTTGCCAGCCAGAATACCACACAATGCAGAGCTTGTGTTACTGGTGACCAGCCAGATTGCCATACAATGCAAAGCTTGTGTGACTGGTTGTCAGCCAGAATGTCACATAATGCAAAGCTCCTGTGACTATTTTTCTGCCTATCTCTTGCTGAGTATGACAGTACACCCAGCAACAGGTTCTGCTATAATTAGCAGGTTCCCTGAAATAGCTGTTGTCGACTTACTGGTACCCTCGGCTGCCCAAACTGTCTTGCCAGTTCAGTGAATGCACCCCTCTGAGATGGGCCCGTGCTGAATGTGTAAATTGCATGGCGTGTCCTGCTCCTAAGAGCCACAGCTGGACAGGAAGGGGATTGGACAAGTCTACAGCCTGTGGACTCTGAGTGAAGTTGTTTACTGAAGAATCATTTCTCTAAACAGGAAAGTGATACAGTTTATATCATTTTGTTTCAACAGATAGTACAACAAAGGAACAAGTGACCTTCACAAGTATAACATTTGGCAAGCAGGTGGTGAGTTTCGATGCACCAATATGAGCAATTCTTGACATGACACCCCCAAGTTTGGGAAAGTAGTTAGAACTGAACGAAGCCAGTGGAAAGATTTTAACCTATGACTGTGTTTTTTGGATCAGGTGGATAGCACAGCATCACCGTGCTCGGACTTCTACTTCCGGTCGACTTTTGACCCCAGCAAGCAGAGCCTGGAGATCCCGCCCTCCAGCAAGTCGGCCACGCCCAGCACCATGAGCCCCACCGAGGAGGCGGGAGTTGCCCTGGTAACGGACATGAAGTCATCCCTGGAGCACAGCATCAAGGCAGGGCTGACTCTCATTGTGCTGTGGAAGGTATAACCCCATGCATTCGGCTAATTTCAGCATGTTGGCAGCTGTGCATGGTGTTCAGCGTATTTATAGTGGAGGTGTTTGATTAACATTTATGGCGTTGACTGGTTGCAAGATCCTGGAGTAGTTCAGCAGACAGTGGGTTTGAGTCCAGTTGGGGAGGAGGGAAGGAGGGCAAGACATGTCTTGAATGCATCTTGGGGCAACGCACTTGTTAAGACATTGTTCCCTCCCAGGAAGTGAAATGGATATTTTTGAAGGGACAGGTGGTTATGTTTGAATTAGCCATATTTCTTAAAGTATGTCCGAGTTAACGGTGTTGTTTCCATTGATGACTTTCTGTTTGTGTACATTTTAAAACTTACTGTTGGGCTTCAGTGGAAGTAAAACAGCTGTAAGGACGAGCAACTCTGAAGGACGAAATCATGTCTGAAACTTACCTTAATTTGCTTCTTGAACGATAGTTAAAAACTCAACTCAAAACGTGTCACCTTGAAATATGGAGTGTGTTCAGAATTCCACGTTGATTAAAATTTGCAGGCTTTTGTTGTGGATGAAGAAGGGTTCCATCACACCCTGGTCGGCCAGCATCACATCATCATGGAAACCATAGGGTCAGAGGTGACGACTGTGCAGACAGTAAGGGTAAGGTCATATTTGTCAATGGGATCATGTATCATCGTGAAGTAACTCAAGGGGAATAACTGTCAGGGTCTAATCCATGAACTACTGGTTTTCTGGAGTCGAAAGGTTCAACAGGAATAAGATTATTCTGCTTTTTGGCAGATTTCCGCTTTTGCAAATAAGTTCTGCCTTTTTGGACTGTCGGATACGGTGGTAGTGGACTTAGAAGTTCCGATATTTTAAATTTTTCCGACCCATTTCATCAAAAAACCTGGTAAGGCAGTGGTGCGATGTAACGTTAGAAATTAATTACACTTCCCGGGGCAAAAATGCCTTAACAGCACAGAATCATTGAAATGCAACAGCGAACTCTAGACATGGAAAACGAATTATCGTCTATCAGGTACATGTATATGTGAACATAATCGACATGTGTTTTGAAGCACATGACAAACCATAAGTGATGAACAAAACTATGCGGTGGGTCTTTACATGTGTAACACATATCAAGTAAACAAATAATAAAAAGGTTAGGTTAGGTTTGTCAGAGTATGGACTTTCACAAATGTTTCTGTTGTGAAATGTTTCTCAGAGGGGCCTAGCATTAGATTGTACCACAGATCATCTAAAGTTGACAATTTTCCTGGGGCCCGCGTGCCGTAAAGGGCTTTGCGCTGCGCGCTCGCAAATTTAACGTTTTTCATTGTCTGAGAATCTCATCCCTGGTTAAAATAAGATAGTTTTCATTGTGAAACTTTAGGTTATGATATTTCGTTCCTGTAATTGAGTCAAAGTCACTCAGTTGGAATATGTCACAGTTTTTGTATGATATTTTGCTTAAGGAAATGATGCAAATCATGCATGGTTAGTTATCGCTTTGGGTAGTTGATGTGTTGTTGAATTCATTTGACTGATCATTATACCAGAAAACCAGAGAAGTCAAACAACTCAAGCTCATCAAAGAACCTGAGAAGGAGGTATCCAGGGAAGCCAGCCCAGAGGTCATGGGTCAGCTACTGAAATACAGTCTGCAGTACTGCGAAGTCAGGGAACACAACTTCAGCAAGAGGAGGTGAGACATCAGACTTGACTGTCTCATGATGGTACCCACTCTTTCAATTTTTTTGATGTCTCAGGAACACCCTGACTGACTTTTATGTTAACAGTCAGTGACGAGGACATGAAAATATTTCTTACTTTGCCAACTCTACTGATTAAGTTTTCCAGGTGTGTCTTTGAATCTGTGAGCATTTTGATCAGGTTCATGGCTGGTATTTGTTTTTGAAACCAAATTCCCTCAAGTTTGGAGCCCTGAATCAAAAGGTGCTTAAAGGCTTTCAAAGACTGTTAATTTAATTTTTTTCTGCACATACACACAGATTTGATGTGTTAATTAGCCTTTCTCCAAAATCTCATTTTTGAGAGTGAAACTTTCCTAGATATTGAAGTGGTGTTTGATTTTGGAAAAAATGTCAACTTTTGTCTGGTTGGGTTGCAGGGTCTGCACGTTACCTGTGTCTCTCAATATACATAACTGTACCAGTACTGCTCTAGAGGTTGCCATAGAAACCACTGATCAAGACAACTCAAGGTAAGGGTCTCTTCCTTGGCAATAGGAAAAGCTATCGGATGTAAGTAGGGCTGTATTCAAGTCCATCACAAGTCCCTGTAAGTCTGTGCACTTTCACCGGTCCGTTATATGTTATCCAGTCTTAAACCAAGTCGTAAGCTATTCAGGGGATCTGCGACAAGCATTCCTTTGTCATAATTCATACTGCTAACTTATGCGCTAACCTTTTGTACCTAGTGTGGGCATTCTGTGGACTTACCCATGTCCACAGGACGTTTCCCCTTCTCTGCAAAAGAAGTTTAGAGGCATTTTGGGGTAGGGGTCATCTGTGGTAAAAGGAAGAGGAATAGTCAAGGAAATGTTTTACAGAATTCCCGCTGAAAATCCTGTTCTCAGTTCAAGGAAGGAGAGTCTTTTCACCGAGCTTTCTGAACTGCTCGCAAACAAAGGAATGTCCACACTAGGTATGTAAGGTACACCTTGGTGAGTGGACATGTGACTGGCCTTGTGGCCTGAATTGCAGGACTTCAAACTGGCCAAGTGTACATGTGGTATTGTCTCAGTTTCTTGCACCGAATACTTCCAGAAACTTCAAACCTCGTAATTTATTCAAGATTAAAATTACAACAGATCTCTGTACCAATGGCACCACACCTTGCTGACACGTGTGCTTTCCTTGTGCGCAGTGGACCATAGACCCCCCCCACTTGCCCAGCGTAGGAAAGCTCACCTGTAAACAAGGTGAGATGTCATCAGTACTTTGGTCTATGCATGAACATACACATGTGGATATACTCAGTTGGCAATGTACATGTACATGGATATATGTACTTGGTTGGACCGCGTGAACTTGCTGCTCATTGTTACAGCTGATACGTCAGCCAGCACTAAAATTTGTCCCGGCTACAATCCGGCTACCTGGCTATTCTGCCATCATATGCTCAGCTATTGTAAGACCACCGTGAACACATCACAGTATTACAACCCTGTCCTTCCCTCGCAGTGCAATGACTGACAAGGTACCAGCCCAGCCGGATGTCCTCCCCAGCACAGCCAGAGCCAGCTCGGCTGACTTTACCTGGGTGGGGCACGTGGCCCAGAAGTTGATCCTTCCGCCGCAAGCCCCCCACCGGGCCCCGCTCCACGCCTGCTTCAGCTCACCGGGGGTCTATAACCTGGCCAACATCAGGCTCCTGGCCAGGCCGGCCCGGGAGGGGGCCATCAAATTCCACCGGTCAGGAGGTGAGAGGTCAGAGTTCACACTCCAGAGGAGACTCCCGCTGAGCCTGGTGACAATCGTTGGTGCTTTGATTTAACTTTTAACTGCAGTATTTTTGTTTGTCTGAGTGAAATTTTTAAATTTAATTTTAATCCATTTTTTTTCCACCATGGGAAGACTGCTTTGGAAATGCCTTGCCACTCTGTACATAAATCAGAAACTAAGTCTCTGTAGTATATCTCTTGCATTAACATTAAATTGATAAAGACAAGACAAAACATTGTAATTATTCAACTTCTGGCAATTCTTGGCTTGACACAAAAGAGAGGACCTGCTTGCCAGACAGAATGGGACAGGAAGAACTATGCAAGACAAAGAAATTGGACACCTATCAACTTTGAATGCGTATAGGGTGAACGTGTCTGCAAAGGGGACTGAGGATTTGTATCAGCTTGAGGTAATTTCAAGGAAAGCCCAAAGAAAAATGTGCAAGCCCAAGTCAAAATGCTGCTGAGCAAAATTCTGTGCTGAACACAAATCAGCGGTGAGCCAGTCACAAGAGAAGTACACCGCAAGGCATGTTGGCGGATAACCCGCTTTTGCCAAGTCACTGATTTCTTTGCTAAGCAGATATCTGTGCTGAGCCACTTGGACAAATTTCACCCCAGAAGACAGCACACAGAGAATTTGTAGAGTAAATGGGAAGAGCGCTTCACATTCTTGTTGATACAAAGCTGTGGTTTCAAATCGGACCCCGAACAGTGTTGGTGGCCTTGGGCAAGGTACTTTACCATATTCACCTCTCCAGTCTCCCTCCCGAGCGTGTCATGGTAACCCTCAGAGTTACAGTTTGTACTGATGAAATTGGTCTTTAGGGCACAAGATCAGCTTCCATATCTAATTGGATGCAGCAGGCTTCTCAGGGAATTGAGACGAATGCAAGAGAAAATTGAGCTTCCGGTCAGAAATGTTAAGATATTGAGACTGCGGACGGAGCTGAGTGTGTAGACCCAAGGTTCCTGGTAGTGGTAGCATTAGTCTAGGTATTTCAAAGTGTCTGACCCTTGCCTGCTTGTTCCGGAGGGCAGGTGGCACAGTTCATTGGCTGTTGGGGACCGGAAGGGGGGGGTGGAATTTATGGTGATCACATGCCAGAATTCATCCTCTGAAGATAAGCATTGCTACGCCTATTGCATATCATCATCTGTAGCATTGCTGACATGACGTAATCAACAGCGCTACTTCTATAAAGTATTCCATAGTATAAGGTTGGCTTTCTGTAGTATGAAATCCACCAGATCTCACCAACTCTCTTTTTTTTTGGATGGGGGGGAGGATACCATTACATTTCCCCGTTCATTATCTGGAGACTATATCAGTGTCTGCACTGTTCACATAGTACACATACCTGTGAACGATTGAGTTGATGTTTAAAATGATTAGCTCTTGCATGTGGGTAACAAAACTGTTTGCTGAAAATGACACTTGTATGTATAACTGTCACTTGTCGACTGTGTGCGTTGAAATGGGAAGAACGGGGAGCCACAACAGTGGTGGCACACACAAATTGAGTTGTGCTCTGTAGAGACATTTTGGGCAGGTAATGCAAGTCTTGGTCAGCGATTTCTGCTGATCTACTTTTATTGTGCAATTTTGTGAACATTGGAGATGAATGAATCCGTATCTTTGGCATCTGGTTTCCTGAACTATTTTTGTAAATTGATGTGTTGGATAAGAAGATGGTGGAATGTTTCTGTTTTGTTGGAAATAGCTGATAGAGACTGAGTATTTGTTTTTTCAATTTGAAATTTTTTTTTTGTCCAAACTGCACCTGTTTTTAAAACAGTTGTACCCACTGATGAAAGGTGAAGTGTTATGTTAACCTGAACACTTGGCCATTTGGATTACAAAAGTGGAACCTGGAGTACCTTTCTTTAATGCTTTGGGCTGCTGACCAGTTGTCAGTTAACAGCACAAACATTCTGACTGCATGACAAAGTGGAACATTATTGTAACCGCTACACTGCCTTACCAATGAGTTATTAAGTCGCACCACACCTTAATATTGGACATTGAAAGACTTCATCCAAACTCACAAACTAAGCCTTAACCACTTTCTGCTGGGGACTCCGGAATCAGAGACGTATGGTTTATATGCGTGGCCGGGGTCTCTGAACTCGAACAAACGAAACAGGGCCCTGTAACAAAATACATTTTTCACTCTCAAAAGTGGTGATAATCCAGCCTTGTTTTGAAACCGTATACCAGGGTTTGGAGCATTGAGAGCGAACGGATTACCACCAGGGACAAAAGCGCTCCACCACCACAGCGATGAGCCACACAGCACCGCTGCACGCTAATCTGGCCCCTATTGAAAAGAGGTCAGCAGTGCACTGAGCCAGGTTCGGGAACAAAAGAAAGTTATATAACACCGTACAATTTGGGCTCTTTTTACAAGGCTGCAGGCCTGGCTGAAATACTCGGGCATCAATGAAGGTTACCTGTCAACTTAGAGTAGTGCCCAAAGATTACTTTGTGTG